GGCGGCGATTACCACCACCACCACCGGGCCCCCGAGCACAGCCTGGCCGGCCCCCTGCACCCCACTATGACCATGGCCTGCGAGACTCCCCCAGGTATGAGCATGCCCACCACCTACACCACCTTAACCCCTCTGCAGCCGCTGCCGCCGATCTCCACAGTCTCGGACAAGTTCCCCCACCATCACCACCACCACCATCACCACCACCACCCGCACCACCACCAGCGCCTGGCGGGCAACGTGAGCGGTAGCTTCACGCTCATGCGAGATGAGCGCGGGCTGGCCTCCATGAATAACCTCTATACCCCCTACCACAAGGACGTGGCCGGCATGGGCCAGAGCCTCTCGCCCCTCTCCAGCTCCGGTCTGGGCAGCATCCACAACTCCCAGCAAGGGCTCCCTCACTATGCCCACCCCGGCGCCGCCATGCCCACCGACAAGATGCTCACCCCCAACGGCTTCGAAGCCCACCACCCGGCCATGCTCGGCCGCCACGGGGAACAGCACCTCACGCCCACCTCGGCCGGCATGGTGCCCATCAACGGCCTTCCTCCGCACCATCCCCACGCCCACCTGAACGCCCAGGGCCACGGGCAGCTCCTGGGCACAGCCCGGGAGCCCAACCCTTCGGTGACTGGCGCGCAGGTCAGCAATGGAAGTAATTCAGGGCAGATGGAAGAGATCAATACCAAAGAGGTGGCGCAGCGTATCACCACCGAGCTCAAGCGCTACAGCATCCCACAGGCCATCTTCGCGCAGAGGGTGCTCTGCCGCTCCCAGGGGACCCTCTCGGACCTGCTGCGCAACCCCAAACCCTGGAGCAAACTCAAATCCGGCCGGGAGACCTTCCGGAGGATGTGGAAGTGGCTGCAGGAGCCGGAGTTCCAGCGCATGTCCGCGCTCCGCTTAGCAGGTGAGCCGGCCAAGGAGCTGGGCGTGAGGGGAGATAAGGAACGAGGAAGCCCTAGGGACCGAAGGAGGGAGGGAAGACGGGAGGGCCGGGTGCTCTTCATCCCGCTCCCCCTTAGCCCGAGAGGGGAGTCCCTTTGCCTAGAAGGGCCAGCACACGGCTCCGGGAGCAGACCGCCTCCTCCTGGGCTTGCGCTGTGGAATGCTCCGAGAGCCAAGCGGCGCGGCCTCGGCAACTGCGAGCACGCATTTGTGCTCGGGGAGAGCGCTAGAAGCTCGCACCGCCCGAGGCGGAGAGAAACCCCCTCACTTGGCGAGACACCTCTGAGCGCTTCCCAGTTGAGAGCTCTGGGCTTGGGAAGAGGGAGAAGACGCGTGCGTGGTATTGCGCGTGGTGCCCTCGCCAGTACCCGCGGCACCTAACCGGCGCTGGGCTGAAGCGTGCCGGAGCTGTGTCAGTGTCTGGGCGAACTTGCTGCGGTCGCCCCCTCCCAACCTCATTCTATCGGTGCGGGATGGGGCTCGGGGGAGGAGGAGGGCACCGCAATCCGAGAGTGCGGGCAAAAAGTTCCGAGGCCACTGGGAAGCGGGTGTGTGGAGCAAACGAGGTATACGGGTTAGCGCGCACTCTGTGCGTGGAACTGGCTGTGGAAAGGAGAGAGGTGAACAGTGCCGAGGTCCGAGTGAGAGGGGCAGAGCACTTTCTGAGCCCAGGGCCCGCCTTTGCTGCCAACTCGCTTAGGACTTTGCGTTTCGTTTTATTATTCCTCTTCGTGATTTTCACCTGAATCCCCGTGCACACTCCATGGGAGTGTGTAAACGAATCCCAAGTCTGCAAACAGAGGCCTTCCGGCCCCGGAACCCCGAGCCACGGGTGTTTCCAAGTTGAGCGTGAAGGTCTCCGTGACGCGGGATAGACACCGCGCCTGGCTCTCGGAGATGACGGATAGGCCGAGGGAACAGCTGAGCCCACCCCGAACCCCACTGGGGGTTTCTGGCGGATTCGGCGACCTCCGCAGTCGGAGGACATGGGGAAAGTCGAGCCAAGGACAACCGGGATTGGGTTTGATGAGACCAGGGCGGCGGTCGCCAAGTTGGTTGACTCTTGGGTCCACGCCTCCCCCCACCCCATCTCAGCCCGGCGCCCAGGTCCGAGCCTTGGCGAAGAGAAAAGGTAAAAGCCGGAATAAGGGTTTGTTAATTAACTGATCGTTCTCCATTAATTCATCCCTGGAGGACGAAAGACAGTCAATCCGCCCTGAGCCGGGGGCACTGAGCCGTTTCACAGTCTAAAATCAAAGCCTCCTCCCCCACCTCGTGCCTGCCAATGAGAAGCTAGGGGGTGGCAGGTGCCGGCGAGCCAGCGATTCGACTCTCGAAGCGACCCAAAGCCAGTCCCGAGCGCCGCGCTGGCTGACCCTCTGCCCTGCCAGGTTTTCCAGTCCAGCCCGCGCTGGGTCGCTCCAAGCAAAGTCCCCCCGAAGGTTCCCTCTGCCTACGCCCGGGAGCCAGGCGACTCGAGGGAGGAGCCTGGAGGAGGACGGGGAGGGGGGCGGGGGGGTGTTGGATGTGAGCCGTAGCGAAGAGGCTGACTGGGTGCCCCCGCTGGGTGCCCCCGCGTTTCCACTCTCTAGCCCGTGTGCTGCCGGCACCACATCGCCCCCCGTGGCTGACCGAGACCCGGTGGGCAGCTGAGGTTCGGGAGCGAGTGGGCGGAGGGGCTGCTCCTACCCTAACTGCTCGGCCTCTCCAGCGTTCCAGGCAGTACCTTTTCACACTCTCACGCCAGCCTCCTGGAGCCGGACTTTAGGCCCCTCTACCCAAGCAGTGACCGCCAAGGCCAGCGAGTGGGGCGGGGGAATGTGGGACGAAGATGGGAATAGAGAAGGCTACCTCTCCGGGAAGACTCGGTCCCCATCCCCACCCCGCGGAGGCGCTTACTCTGGACTTCAGTGGACCTCCCCTCCCCCCCCCCACTGCCTGCGGTCGCCCCCTGGAAGGACAGACTCCCACGTTCTGTTCAGAGTATTGGAAAGCCCCAAGCCTTGGAAACCTGGCGGTGCGAGCTCCCGCTGACCTCCAAGAATGGAGAGCCGAGCTCAGGGGACGCCGCTGTGCTGGGGAGGGAGCCCGAGTGCTGAGAGCCGCACGCTGAAGGCGCGAGCCAGGTGCGGGGCTAGTGCCACCACGGGACCCATGGGGTCCTCCAAGAGACGCCTGCCTGGGCATCCAGCAGCCCCTGAGAGCTATGCTGCCCTCGGTCCCAGGCCCACGGCCTTTCCCTCGAAAAAGTGGAAAATCGGAGACTCCAGCAGGACAGGCGCCTGGCGCCAACACCAAGCGGATTCCGTGTACTGAGACCTGAATGAAGCGCCTCTCTTCCATTTTTGTTTCTCTAACTTAAAGGGGGGGGGGGTGCCTGGGACTGAGGGCGCCATGCGGGTCCAGGAGGGTCGCCTCCAAGGAACCGGGAGCAATCCTGTCACGCCGCAAAACCACGACTTTTTTTTTTTCTTCACTGAATATCAACGAGCCGTCTCCTTAACATAGTCTTTTTTTTTTTTTTAAAGTGGGGTCGTTTTCTGAACCCTCCAGTGATCTCTTGCAGGTCCTGAGCGCAGGGATCTTAAAACAGGTTGCAGGGCGCCTTGGCAGTCGCCGCAGGACGTTAGCGCCTGCCGCGACGCCAGCCTCCACCCCCCAACCACGGAGGCGCCGGGTGCAGCTCTGCTCGCAGTTGCACGCTAAGACCCTCCCCCAGTCTCGTCTCAACCACCTGGCGGGGCCAAGGCCCGCTGAGCCGGGTTCCTTCGCCCCACAGCGGGAGGGCGGCTTCTCCACGCCCCTCTCTGTGCCCCGAACTCCGCGCAGCCTGTCGCCCAGGGCCAAAACCCTCCGCACGTGGCGGTGCGTTTGAAGAGGCGCCTTCCCGTCATGAGATTACAGCCGCTGGTAGAAGACGGGCGACAGGAGAAAATTCTCACCAAATTAACTACCTTAAAAAATCAATATATGTTCCCTCCATGTGATGCTTGCTGCTGCCCCATTAAAGCGCGGCGCGCCCGGGTTCTCGTCGCGTCGGTCCCGGGCGAGGTGGGCGGGT